CCCTTCTCTGCTGGCCCGGGCGGGGGCTGCCGTGGCCCCAGATCTCGCTCCGAGACGCGGCGCGGCCCAGACGGGCAGCGACTCCCGGGGAAAGGACCCCGGGGAGGGGGGAAGAGGCCGTGCGAGGGGAAGGCGGCGAGCTCGGAGGCCCGGAGGCCTTGGCCGCGCCCCAGCACCCACATGGCCTCTGGAGGGGGCGCGGCCTTCGAGGAGCTGCCTCACGACGGCACGTGTGACGAGTGCGAGCCCGACGAGGCTCCGGGGGCCGAGGAAGTGTGCCGAGAATGCGGCTTCTGCTATTGCCGCCGCCACGCCGAGGCGCACAGGCAGAAGTTCCTCAGCCACCACCTGGCCGAATATATCCACGGCGCCCAGGCCTGGATGTCTCCAGCTGATGGGGAGGGAGCGAGGAAAGAAGCGGTCGGGGCCAACGGGGAGCAAGAGAGGGAGATAGAAAGCGAGGCCGGGGAAGAGAGCGAGTCTGAGGAAGACAGTGAGTCGGAAGAAGAGAGCGAAACGGAGGAAGAGAGTGAGGATGAGAGCGACGGAGAGAGCGAAGAAGACAGTGAAGAAGAAATGGAGGATGAGCAAGAAAGCGAGGCAGAGGAAGACAACCAGGAAGAAGGGGAGTCTGAGGCAGAGGGAGAAACTGAGGCAGAAAGCGAATTTGACCCAGAAGTAGAAATGGAAGCAGAGAGAGTAGCCAAGAGGAAGTGCCCAGACCATGGGCTCGATTTGAGCACCTATTGCCAGGAGGATAGGCAGCTTATCTGTGTCCTGTGTCCAGTCATTGGGGCCCATCAGGGTCACCAACTCTCCACCCTAGATGAAGCCTTCGAGGAACTAAGAGTAAGTATCAGGCATTCAAACCATAGGCCTAGGGGTCAAGACATCTGGGTTTCAACCCAGGTGGCCTTGCTGTGACCATATTTGCTTTCAATGTATCCCTAAAAAGCTACTCTATTCAACTTGTTGGGAGCAGTACTTATTCATCCTTATGGCTGAACTCCTTTGAGAACCCCATGAAGGTTCTGGACTCTGATCCAAGAAAATACACATACACACAAAATCAAGTATGCAGTTTCAGGAAAACTGCAATTCTCTAGTTTGTGGAACCTAGGTAAAGCATTCCTTGGGAGTGTTGCCCCACTTAAGCCAATTTCTACAGCATCCTTATTGTTGAGACTAGTACCTTGACTTAGGGTTCTTGATAAGGTAGTCTTTGCTTACCTGCAAACATGGGAAACCATGATTTTGCCAAATGAATCCAAGCAGGTGGTTCCTCCGTAGTGAAAATACTCCCTAAAAGGAAGTGGTTTTTGTAATAATTTCATGTGTACCATGCGTTCCTTTTAGGTTCTTCCTGTTGAAACTTGGTAGGAAAGGAGGGTAAGAGGGTGGAGATTCCCATGTCCTCCATCTGGGCATTTATCTGTCTTGGACCTGGCTGGTCACGTTGTGTTTAGCAAATAGTAGACATTTAGTAGATATTTATTGAATGAATGAATTTGCAAATGATTTACCTTTTGTTTCTGTTGTGGATGTTTACAGTCAGTGACAGAAATTGTGTTGGTGTTAACCAGGGAGGAAAGTTTGAGTAGAGGCATCTGTTCATTAAGTGATCAGTATACTTGTGTATGTTTTCATATTATGATGACTTTTGCTTCCCTAAGCAATCTAACAATTGCTGGTATTGGGATAGCAAACACTTTGATAATGAAGATCCCTTATATTAAGTTTTTCCCTTTTTTATCCCCATTCTTATTGTAAAATACACATTCAGAAAGTGTGTAAAAACATATGCACACTCTATCAATTATATAGCAAGTGTTGATGTAACCATCCACATTAAGAAATAGGACATTATGGGGCCGGCCCGGTGGCGCACTGCTGCAGTGCACCGCTTGGGAAGTGCGGCGGCGCTCCCGCCGAGGGTTCGGATCCCACATACAGACCGGCCGCTCACTGGCTGAGCGAGGAGCGGGGGCAACACCGAGGGTTGCGATCCCGTTGCTGGTCCTGGTCCGGTACGGGGGCGACACTGAGGGTTGCGATCCGTTGCCGGTCACAAAAAAAGACAAAAAAAAAAAAAAAAAAAAAAAAAAAAAAAAAAAAAGAAATAGGACATTACTAGCCATATTGAAGACCGCATTCCGATCTCCCAAATGCCATTTTCTGATTATAACCATCTCTCTTCCCCATAGGTAACTGTTATCTTGACTTTTATGGTGATAATTTCCTTGCTTAATCTTTATACTTTTACCACATATGTATGCATTTCTAAACTTATTTGAACTTGACATTGTTGGTATTGTTTTCATCGTGCATTCTCTTTGGGCTCTTCATTTTCTCAACATCATCTTTGTGAGATTTATTCAGTGAGTGGCTGTGGTTTGTTCATTTTCATTGCTGTATTGAATTCCATTTTATGAATATGCCACAAGTTACCTATTCTGTCATAGATGAATGTTTGATTTGCTCCCAGGTTCTGGAGCTTTTGGCTATTATAGACAATGTTGATATAAACATTCTTGGTCATGTTTCCTGGTGCACATTTACATATATTTAAATGGGATATAAACCTAGGGGTGGGGCCGACCCCGTGGCTCACTCGGGAGAGTGTGGCGCTGGGAGCGCAGCGGCGCTCCCACCGCAGGTTCGGATCCTATGTAGGGATGGCTGGTGCGCTCACTGGCTGAGCACGGTGTAGGCAACACCAAGCCAAGGGTTACGATCCCCTTACCAGTCACAAAAAAAAAAAACAAAAAAACCTAGGGGTGAACTTTCTGGGTCATAGACTATGCATGTCATTAATAATAGTGCTAGTGTTGCTAACTATTTTCCAAAGTGGTTGTACCAGTTTGCATTGCCATAAAGAGTACACAAGAGTTCCTATTGCTCTGTATCTTTGCCAACACTTGCTATTTCAGTATTTTTAATTTTTGTCAATCTTGTGGGTATGTAATGGTATCATATTGTGGTTTTAATTTGAATTCTGCTAGTTACTGATGACTTTGAGTATCTTTTGGAAGGCAGCTATGCTCACCACTATACCACCAATGCACTTATGAGTATCTTTTGTATTTCCTTTTTTGGCGAAGTACACAGGTCTTCTACTCATTTTTCTTTTGAGTTTTCTCTCTTTTTCTCATTGATTTATAAGAGTTTTTATATATTTGTTTCTGACTTCTTTGTTCTTTATATGGGTTGCAAATATCTTCTACTTTGTGGTTTTTCTTTTTCTTTTTTTTTTAAAATTGTGCCTTGAATGGAAGTTCTTCATTTTATTTTATTTTTATTTATTTTTAACTCCTACAAATAAATGAGAACATGAGGTATTTCTCTTTCTGTGCCTTGCTTATTTCACTTAATATAATTTTCTCTAAGTCCATTCATGTTGCTGAGAATGGTAGTATTTCATTTTTTTTATAGCAGAGAAGTATTTCATTGTGTAGAGATGCCACATTTTCCTTATCCACTCATCTGATGATGGACATTTGGGCTGGTTCCAACCCTTGGCTATTTAAATAGCACTGCAGTAAACATGGGAATACAGGTATCCCTTTAACATGATTTTTGTTCCTCTGAGAAGTTCTTCATTTTAATGTGGTAAAATTTATCAGTACTTTAGTGCATTTTGTGTCTTGTTCCACTTAGTATTGATTTTTATGTAGTTGAAGTATGGTCTTAATTTCATTTCTTCCCCATACAGATAGCAGCATTTGTTAAGAAGCCTGCCCTTTCTGCACCAATCTGCTATGCCACCTGTCATATATCAAGTGCCTATATGTTGTGAATATGTTTCTTGGCCTTTAATATTCTGTACCATTGATCTGTTATTATATCTCTGTGGGAACAACATGTTTTCTCGGTTACTATAGTTTTATAACATGTTAATATCTGGTAGAGCAACTCTTTCTACTTTGTACTTCTACAAGAATGTCTTGGCCAGTTGTGGCCCTTTACAGTCCTTAAAATCACGCTATAAAAAAGTCTGCAGGGGGCCGGCCCGGTGGCGCACTGGATAAGTGCGCTGCTTGGGAAGTGCGACGGCGCTCCCGCCCGAGGGTTCGGATCCCACATACAGACCGGTTCCCGCTCACTGGCTGAGCGAGGCGCGGGAGCGACACCGAGGGTTGCGATCCCCTTGCTGGTCCCTGGTCCGGTACGGGGGCAACACTGAGGGTTGCGATCCGTTGCTGGACACGGAAAGAGACAAAAGACAAAAAAAAAAAAAAAAAAAAAAAAAAAAAAGTCTGCAGGACTTTTTTGAGGTATTGTATTTAATTTATAAACCAATGTAGGGAGAAT